TCCGACTTGCTGGGATGGGAAGAACACCGACAGTCCAGATCACAAGAGCCACGTTGCGTACGCGACCGGGTCGAAAGCGAACGATGTTGGGCCGACAGGAAGTTGCCCAGAGAGTCATCCGGTGGTGATTCCGCAAGTGATGTACGAGGTTAGGTGGGATGTGAGTACCTGGGATATTTCTCTTGCTGAAAGGGAATTGTTGCTAATATGAAACTAGACCAGGTCGTTCAATGACAAGTCACTGTGGCCGACGGATGGCTCGCAGCCTTTTGTTTGGAGCACGGGGGATCAGTGAGTTCTCTCTTCCCACGTCCATCTTATCAGGGGCGTGTCTGACAGCGATAGTCATGGCTATTCACAACACGGGGACTACGTGTTTGGCTGGAAGGGGGATTCTCTCCAAAAAGCCATTGACGCTCGTTGCACCGGCGATGTGTGTTCCGCTCTCCAGACACAGACTGTCCAGGAGGCAGACAAGTGTACCGTGAAACGGCAGGTCAATGAGGATTATGACGGATGTAAGTTATCCCATGACTCGTTCTTGAGTTGGATGTGCACAATGTTAACCACCTAACAGGGCTTCATGCGCTTCCGGGCGACCCGGCGAGCTCCAGAGAGTAGCAGCAGACAGACTCCGCGAATACGCAGTGTGTTGTTGGGACAGGGGGCGTATTTTCAATTCGTACCTTCACTGCACATGCACGATTCCGATGCCATTAACTCAGACATTCCTCGGTGCTGCAAGCTAGTTCCATTAACTGGCATTGTGCCTGTCATGACCCAGAGTCGGGTCGAGAATTACGATGAGACGATGACATGTCCTTTTCGCCCGTCGTTGCAAAGCCAATTCACCTTCCCTAGTTCTAAAATTAATCCAAATCAGGAATTCAGTCTCTCCCCTTGTCACTCTGTCCCCTGAGGTTTTGGAGTGTGCCGCACAGACTATCGCGAGAGATCAAGGTTGATGTGGTTAGAGCCGTCAAGCTCACCTGCGTTCAATCGTTGGGTGCCATGAACTGAGCTCCACGTGTATCTCCCGTCAATTTCTCATTCGTGACCAGCCTCAACGGCATTTACCTCCCCAGAGTGGACATGACTTGCATTGGGACATGGCAGAGTCCAGACAGAGATGATCAGATCCAGGCAAAGGGGCTGTGTGTCAATATACGCCCCGACATTTATATTGATAGGTACCATGTGTGCAGGCGATGAGGTATCACTGGGTTTCCGTTGCCGTTATTAATTGAACCGTTGAATACCTACGTTCGGATAGGCAGATGCCATATCCGGAAGGTCGAAGTTGGAGGTCGCGTTGTCAGTGCAGGGGCAGAGTGGGGTGGATGGGTCTTGGCGAGACGTCGAGAGTCACGGGTGCCAAGAAACCTGCCCTCTCTAGACCTCTCCTCCTCAGCTACGCCGCATGCAGGCCCTAGCATCGCGGCGGCCAGCAACAAGCATGGGCATAGCATGGTGCGCCATCCATGGGATGGAGGAGCGTCCTACCTTCCACTGGATCATCTCATCCCCATTTAGACCATCACATCGTGATCACCAAGTGCGGCGTCAAACCCGACCTTCCAGAACGCACCGAGGGGGCTGATCAGCAACAAGATAGCAAGGAACAATATAAAGGCTTGTTGAAACCCGGTTTTGGACCCAGTTGATATTGCAGAAGAGACAAATCCAGCATCGGAAAGACATTGACTAACAATAATCAATTGACCTTCACATCATGCGTTTTTCGTCCCTTATCCATGCCGTCACGGCGGCCGTGGCTGCTCCTGCCGTTCTTGCGGGCACGACTGGCAGGGCTGGTCAACCCTCTCTCAAATTTGGCTGCGGAGCCCCAGACCCTACCACGGAGCAACTATCCATGGCCGCATCCCTTGCGGCGCAGGAGGCCCGCCGACCCCAACGCACGACCAACATCAATGTTGACGTCTATTTTCACGTCATCGCCTCGTCGACCTCGCTTGAGGACGGCTACCTTACCGACAAAATGCTCTCGGATCAATTCACCGTTCTCGAAGAGACCTTTGCTCCGTCGGGCTTCACTTTCACCCTCAAGAACACAACCTTCACCCTCAACACTACCTGGGCTTCGGATGGCGACGAGTTCGCCATGAAGAAGGCTTTGCGCCAGGGGAGCTACAAAACCCTCAATATTTACTTCCTCAAGGATCTCAATGGTTACTTTGGATACTGCTACTTCCCCGACAACGTCACCTACGGGTCTGAGGATTTCTGGTACGATGGGTGCAGCATCCTTTACACCACTGTCCCAGGCGGGAGCGAAACGAATTACAACCTTGGATACACGGTCACTCACGAGGTTGGCCATTGGTTTGGATTGTACCACACCTTCCAAGGCGGCTGCGAGGGTGATGGTGATTATGTCTTCGACACCCCGGCTCAGGATAGCCCAACGAGCGGGTGCCCTGTTGGGAGGGACTCCTGTCCTGAGTTGGAGGGACTGGATCCCATCACGAACTTTATGGATTATTCATACGAGTACGTTTTTCTTTCTTCTGGAAGTACCTACCTTAGTTGGGGAGAAAAGATTGCTGATATTGTTTAATAGCACGTGCTACGACAATTTCACAACTGGCCAGGCCGCTCGCGCATATAGCTTTTGGAAGGAGTATCGTGCTGACGCCACTAAAGGCAAGACCGATGACTCTGACGCCACTCCAGCGCCCCTTTAACTCTGAGCGCTCTAAAGCTGTTCTGATATATTCACTTAGTTACTGAGATTAAGGTTCGGATTGTCACAAGTGGATCTGGTGATAAACATTAGATGTTACATTACCCCGTCCTAGTTTCCAAGACTCCCTACGATAGCAAGCAAGGGTTCGACTCCCCTGCTTCTCTTTGTATGGGGTTTTAGCCGAGGATGGCTTTTCTTCAGACAATGACTTGATGTTCTCCATGCCTTTGCCACGCAGATCGCTGTATGTTGTACCGTCACCTGCATCTTAAGGTCTCGGTACCCGCTCAAATGATTCTATAACTTTTCTTGTCGAGATGCAAAAGGGATGGAAGCATTGGAGAGAGAAGTGATGGTTGAAGGTGATGAATTGTTTCTATCTTCGAGAGCGGAAGCCGTGTTATTATAGCCGTGAGCGTGGCCAGTGCACGGAGTGCATTGGCCACGCTCGCTTCTGCGAAGCGAGCTTGGCTGACTGAATACGAGGTTGGCAGTGGAGTCTGGCGCTCTTGGCTGTGCAGATCCACGGATCCAGCCGCTCTGCGGCTGTGTGGATCTAGCCACACTGGCCGGGTTAGGGTTGTGAAAACCCAACAGTGAGCGACGCGTACGGAGCGTGCTTACTCTGCTTACCCTGATTGTAGGTGATCACGGTGAACAGTCTGTGGGCGTGCTCACTCTGCTCACCCTGATCACGGGTGACCACGGTAAACAGAGTGAGCAGGGTACGGAGGTACCATCAGGACCCAGTAGTATAGATACCATTATCGTGCCCACGATGGAGTGAGGGACCTCTTGGTTCCTCACGCTAGCAATTACATTGTGTATTGACCCGTGAGAGTTGCGCTAGCCTTCATTCAGTCATCTTGTCCCTACTAACCTTGTAGCAATTGGGCCTTTGTCCGCTACTACGATCTGTCTTTGTCCGACCCCTCAGTGGAGCCGAAAGCAGGCCGTAACAATAACTTAATTTTTTTTTCAGAAATTAAAAGTGTAGTAAACTTCCTTAAATGGTAAAAATAGTTAGGTAAATAAAGAAAACTCTTAATAAGTAATATTATATTACGTAATAAAAAAATAGAAAATACCATTATAACCGCATACGTTATACAGTACTGGTAAGTCATTTTGATGTCAGTATCGTATTAGTAAGGCTAAAAATAAAGGGAGTTAACTAAATTTATATACTGATACTTAATTATTTTAAAAATTAGTAATTTAAATAAAATTCCTACTATAAAAAATAGTACCATTAGAATCAGCTTATGAAGACCATTCTAATGGTACTACTCTTTTTGTTTTTAAATAATACTAATATTATACTATATTAGAAAAAAAATACTAAAAAAAAAACTCTTTTTTTTCCTTTTGCTTTACCTTTCCACAACAGAAAGGTTTCTATATAGAAAAAAATACCTACTAAGGTAGATTTTACATTTTTCTAACCTAGCATGTATTTTGTTTTTCTAGAACTGTTATATTAGTGAAAATCGTTCCAGTGGTCCTTTTTTGATTTAGAATTTTAAAAAAATATTGATTTTCCTTTGAAGTTGCATCTCCACCAATATTGCTCCAAATTAAAATCCGACTGCAGATTTGGAATCGTCGCGATTAGGCTATCTTCAGTATCCATTTTGTTTTCTGACTGCGATAAAAGGGGGGCTGGGAATTAAGGAGTGTTGTTAGAAATTATTGCGTTTTGTTACTTGCGACAGCAAGGCCGTTTTCGCGCAATGGGGCCACAGACCCTATTTTCGAGCGTTTTCTCGGTGCAGACCCACAATACATTGTTACGGACCATGTGGGTGAAGCTGCGGTGGTTGGCGAAGCGCTGAGGAGGCGCGCGCTCGAAAAGTGGGGCTGTGCTTGCAGAGATAACCCTGGGATGGTATATTCGAAATTTGGGATGGGATATGACATACCAGTACCGATAGAATGTCTTATTAGTCGACGGTCCAAAATTGGGCCACACGGCTGCGCAAGCTAGGCTCACCCATAGCTCACCCTAGCTCAGGGGCGGCTCAGGATCACGCAAGAACATGGAAATTGCTGAGGGCAACTTTAGGGTACAACAATGGGCTGTTGTCATTGGAGCGCTCGTAAGTGAGTAAAAGTGGGGAGTGCTAAAGTCAGGTGGAAGACGGCTGCACAAACGCTTGATATTAACTGCGACATGGAAATACTACTGGAGCCAAAATCGACAGCGACCCTTTCCTCATTCAATATCCTACTCACAGACGGGTAAACAAGATTGGACTTGGACCGTCCCCCATCAAAATTGATACCTATCCATCGATCCACCCAGGGGTCCAACCTGGAACCTCCTGATAACTTCTCCTGTCAAAGACCGGATCGTAGTCAGATGCTCTGCCATTGATGAGCCAGCGGACCTGATCAAACTCAAGAGTCCTACATGCGCTATTTGAAAACTGTAGGGGTTCAAAACCCCGATGCCTTCTTCAATAATTGGGCCGTTGTTTTCAAGCCATGAACCAAGAAATGGACTTCTTCCAAAACAAAACACCGGCCTTACTTACGGTTTCGTATTTTGCCCTTACCACTCCCCCTCAACCTTCACCGGCAAATGCCTGTCGGAAATGTCAGCTTTTATTCACCTGTTTGTGAGATTTGTCCATGTCTCAGGAGCAGATCCTCCCTTTGACCCTTCCGAGACAGCCAGAATGAATTAAACAGGAAAGAAAGGGCTCTGAATATCACTCACCACAGTCGGTCTCCGTACTCCGTTTTCCCCGGCAGTTTCCCGGCCCTGACATTCATCTGTAACGACTGATGCAGCAACCTAGGGGCTTTCAACCCCCTATCTCTTTCTCTCCTCAGCTTCACAAACTCCATTTCATCCACACCGTCCCTGACGTGCTTGTTCTCCATCCTGTGCATTCCCACCGTCATGCATGCCTCGGGGCCCCTCGTTCCAGGTGGGTAATCGTGTCCCGTCCAGATCTTTACGTGATCAGGGAAGGAGAGTAACCTTCTCGCCGAAGAGTAGAGTTGGGAGGCACTTCCACCTGGGAAATCGCACCGCGCGGTGCCAACATCGGCGTGAAAAAGGGAGTCTCCACAGAAAATATTGGTGCCGAATTGATAACCCATGTGATCGGGGGTATGGCCGGGGAGGTGAAGGGCAGTCGCAAAGAGAGAAGATGAGATGGGGAAGACTTCGTCGTCGGAGAAGAGGTGGTCGAACATAAGAGGGTGATAGTCGGACGGGGGCAGGGAGTAGCGCGCCCCGAAGATAGATTGGACTTGGTGAATGCGGGAGCCAATGCCGATGGTGGGCGGTTGGGACTGGGTATGAGTGAGGCGATTTTTAAGATATGACGCGGCGGTGAGGTGGTCTGCGTGGGCATGGGTTTCGAGGATCCAAGTAATGGTGTATTGTTTTTGAGCGATGAGAGCGAGGACAGCATCCGCGGTGGTGGTGGTAATACAGCGGGATGTCGGACTATAATCGAGAACCGGATCGATGATAGCTGCGTTGAAAGTAGCTGCGTCCGCGACGACATACTGCCAGGTCCCGGTGACTGGCTCAAAGATGCTGTTGATAATAGGCTCTGTTGACGAAGGGGTGCAAGTCTTTGTTGTCGATATCGGAATATGCTTATTGTAGGTGGTGAGACCAGAAGTTCTTGTGCCGCGAGCAAGGTCCCATGCCCGACTCTCACAACGGGATGTGCTCCCAGAACAACTGTTCGCAGGTACAAGCAGCGGTGGAGCACCTACTCTCCAGCTGTGCAAGCGGCGGGCCACCCCAGCCAATTGTCTGTTTGTTAGAGATGGCTCTGCGATGCATCGACATGCAGCCAATAGGCACTGTCGGTTGAGTTTGGGCGCGAGGCTTGCCATCCTGCTTCAAGACCACTCTGCCGGAGCTCAGAGGCACCGGACGTTGGATGGAACGAAAGAACGAGGAAGCCTCCGGAAGAAATAGGATGACGCATTGTTTGAGCAAAATCGAGAAACAGGTAAAAGGTCAGGCCACTTGATCCCGACTCCCGACACCCATGACCCATGCGCCCGACAGCCGGTTGCTCGTTTTCATCCCGAAGGTTCCCGGCCATTCAGTGAGGTGTTACGTGGTGGGAGGAATTAGTTTGACACCCCTCTGGAAATACAGGGGGTGTTAATAGGCTCCCTAGAGGCGTCCAGCAACCCTCTGAAGGTGTTCAGCAGCTCTTTAAAGGTGTTTGTTATTTTCGAAGGTGTTTATTAACTCTATGAAGGCGTTTCGTGTCTCTCTCGAGGCCTTTGGTGGTTTTCTGAAGGCCTTGAAGAGGTAGCAGACCGTCAAACTGATTCTTTCCACCACGTGGGTGGCTACCCAGGGTGTCGGCGAACGAGCTCGGCATGCAAAAAGTCGCCGACAAGAGTTCGGGCGGGAAATAAGGGAAAAGGTGACAAAACTTTAGCGCACATGGAAATTAAGTGGGTCCGGCTTGTTCCGCCGTTACCGGTTCTCGGTGGATGGGCTCAAAATGTCTGGCCACCATCGTCCAATTTCGACATTTGCTGACTAGCTGCCGACCTCACCTTTTAGGTCCCCCCCCCCCCCAAAAACAAAATAAAGGGCGTCGCTCACCTCGTATCTTTGACTTGTAGCACACCCTTCTGGGCTTGCCTTCCTTTGTTTGCGCGTCCCTCAATTTTCAGGTGCGGCCACAGGCAACTCCGACTCCGGCGACTCAACAGCTCTCACTCATCATCCCCTCACTCCCACATTCATTCGTTGTTGCCATGGCCATCCTCGCCTCCAGGGCGCGCACCGCCCTCCGCTTCACCTCCTCTGCCCGACGGTCTTTCGTCCTTCGCACCTTCGCGACAGCCACCAACACCACCGCTCCTAACCAGATTACACCCCCCGTGCCAACGCCATCTCACAGCCATAAAGTTGTCCTCATCGGCGGCGGCACAGCCGGCCTTACCATCGCCCATCAACTACTTCACACCGGCAAATTCACGCAAGACGATCTAGCTATCATCGACCCATCCCCCGACCACCACTAGTACGTTTCATTGCTGTCTTCAATCCCGGGCCATGGCTGTTCTTGGTTCCCCTTTGGTGTCTCCGCGGGAGCATTCTCGCTCGAGACATTCCTCTTTCCAAGGTTTGAAATTTGTTCAGGGTTAACAGAAGCTGACAGAGTTGCCATCAGTCAACCGGGATGGACGCTCGTGGGAGGCGGCCTGAAGCAGCGCGAGGACCTTCGACACTCCCTCCCTTCCCTTCTGGACTCTAGACTCAAGTTGTACTCCTCGGCCGTAACAAAGTTATCTCCGGGCTCGAACTCCGTTGCGCTCACCGATGGGTCGATATCGAATTACGACCATTTGGTAGTAGTACCAGGAATCAGGATCAATTATGATGCAATCAAAGGTCTCCCTGAGGCGCTTGCGGACAGGGAATCCTCCGTCTCAACCATCTACGGATACGAGACCTGCGGAAAGGTTTTCAAGACCCTCGAGAAGTTTCAGAAAGGGCAGGCAATCTTCACCCAGCCAGCTGGCGTGATCAAGTGCGCAGGGGCTCCGCAGAAGGTCATGTGGCTCGCCTTAGATCTGTGTGGGTGATATTCAGAGCTCTTTCTGTCCTGTTTATTTCATTCTGGATGTCTCGGGAGCGTCAAGGAGAGCATCGACTCCCGAGTGGAGAAATCTCCTACATGCGAATAAAAGTTGACATTTCCTACAGGGAAGCGGCAGGGGGTTTACGACCCCGGGAACTCGGCTGGGTCGCCAGTTAAGATTGCGTTCGCAACGGGCCTGCCAGTCATGTTCGGGGTGCCCAAGTGTAAGTACCCGACCAGCCAGCTGTTCTTTCATTTAGGCCCTTCATTGCTGTCTTAACACAATGTCATAAAAAAACGATTGCTAAAATTTATCACAGACAGTGCGAAGCTGGAAGAGCTGAGGCAGCAAAGGGGAGTTGAGGGGCTGTTCGGGCATGATTTGGTAGAGGTGAATGGAGACAAGGCGGTGTTCAGCAATAATGGGGAGAAGCTGGAGAGGAGATTTGATTTACTGCATGGTAAGTGCTGATCGAGGCATTTTCTTACTTGCTTCGTCTGGTTCCGCAGTCTCGATATGCCGAAGTAGGGCCTTGGCTCCCGGGACGCGAAGAAATTCCCAACCCAGGGGAATGAAGCTGACCTTTTTCGACAGTGGTCCCCAAGATGGGACCCCACCCGTGGCTGAAGGCGAGCGAGGTGGCGGACGCGGCAGGGTTTGTGGACGTTGATCAAGGGACGACCAGGCACAAGAAGTTCCACAATGTGTGGTCGGTGGGTGACGCGTCAAACTTGCCAACATCAAAAACGGCGGCCGCAATCACAGCACAGGCACCGGTGCTGGTACAGAACTTGGTCGACGCGATGGAGGGGAGGGAGCTGAAGGCGGAGTACGACGGGTACACATCTTGCCCCCTGACGACCGAGTACGGAAAGGTGCTCTTGGCCGAATTCATGTATGGTGGCCTGCCAAAAGAGACGTTTGGTGACTGGCTCGGCATCGACCAGATCGAGCCAAGGAGGGCGTTCTACCACCTCAAGAAGGACTTCTTCCCATGGGTGTATGCCAACTACATGGTCAAGGGTTCGTGGGGAGGGCCGAAGGGGTGGATCAACTGAACGATTGCATCTGATCCACGTCAGTTGATGGACAGCAATGGAATACCTGACTTCTCGGAACAAATCGATTTGTAAGATGAGGTGTGGTGCGGAATGAATTTGGCGAGCGGGGGTTACTTCTTGACACCGCATGGCGAGTGAATTCAACTCTTCTTTCCCTTTTTGTGACACTGCAAGTTCGCACTGAGGAGGCCAGGGGCCACAGCAAAGATCACCTGTCGATCCTGTTTCCATGTCAATGGGGGTGTGGTTGATGCGAACCCTCTGCTTGGCACCAGATCGCCGCCTTTGGCCTCGATATTACAACAGTTCAAGCTCCAGCACCGCAATATTATGCGCGCCACCCAGAACGGAGGGAATTCCAGGTTCTCATGATGCCGCCTCGATATTGGGTGACCACATCGGGCTGCATACTTCGTCGACTTTCCAGAATCGAGCAGAAGGAGGAGGGAGGAAAAGCGAATGCTGCCGGCTTACGGACCGTCATATGCCGAGAACCCACGGCATGCCATCTACCGCAAACAAGACACCACTCGGCACCTTGTGGCGGGAGCTAGCCCAGGCTCGGAAACAGGCCGTACCAGATTGGGCGCATTCTGGTTATCACGATTTGGCTTGCGAGCCGTAGGCGCGACGTCATGGGCACCGCAGAACACCGCAGAAGACTTCGGCCTTATTCTGGTCTTCGCTCGCAACCCTTGCGTGCGCCATTCAATGCAGCGCGGAGCCTCGATATTAACGCTGCCGCGTGCCGCTGGGCCTTCCACCAGTCCCGTGGCCGCAAACCAATCATGTGTATAAAACGCGCAATAACGGCCAGCATTTTGCGAGATTAGCCGGGAGTCGGTAGATCATCTACCGCTCTGCCGCCCCGTGGGCGCCGGGCCTGCGTGCAGACTCGTGGAACCTGGGGAAAGCTGGGGAAATCAGAGCTCAAGGGAGGCCTAGACATGCCTGTACTCTGGTGTGACCATGGATGGGCTGCAGTGCGAGAATGAGTGGGAATGTGGGGTCAAGCATTGAGTAGGTGTTGATATAAAGTAAATACTTGCTCCCCTGCCGACCTGGTTGCCCTCGCTCTTCTCTCTTGGACCCCAACCTACTCACTCGGCTCTCTATCCGCGGTACTGCTCATTCTTCCATTTGTCCCGGCACTCTCCAAAGACCGTCATGATGCTTTTCACATCCGGATTCGCCGCAGTGGCGTTGCTTGCCGCCGAGGCTGCCGCTCACGGCGCCGTCACCAGCTATGTCATCGCTGGCAAGAAATACGAGGGGTAAGCTGTCTCTCTGTTTGTTTTCCGAAAACACAGAGAGAAGGAAAAGACTGACACACACGCGCTACCATTAGCTACCAAGGTTTCTCTCCCGCCAACTCCAAGAACGTCATCCAGCGCCAGTGGTCCACATACGACCCCATCATGAACGCTGGCGATGCCAAGATGCGCTGCAACGGTGGCACTTCGGCCACCCTCTCGGCAGAGGCGGCCCCTGGCGACAAGGTCCAGGCGGTCTGGGGCCAGTGGACGCACTCGCAAGGCCCGATCCTCGTATGGCTGTACAAGTGCGCGGGCGCCTTTTCGGCGTGCGACGGCTCGGGCGCAGGCTGGTTCAAGATTGACGAGGCCGGTTTCACACCCAAAAGCGGCGTCTTCCTGGACACGGAGCGGCCCTCGGGTTGGGAGATTGCCAAGCTCGTCGGCGGAAACAAGTACCACGAGAGCACGATCCCCGCCGGGTTGGCGCCGGGCAACTACCTCATCCGCCACGAGCTCATTGCTCTGCACCAGGCCAACGCGCCGCAGTTCTACCCCGAGTGCGCGCAAATCACCATCACCGGGTCCGGCACCGCCGAGCCCCCTGCCTCGCTCAAGGTTGCCATCCCCGGCTACGCCAAGCAGACCGATTCCAACATCAAGTTCAACATCAACGACCACTCTGGCCCCCAGACATACGTCATCCCCGGCCCCGCTGTGTGGAAAGGTGCTGGCTCGACCAAGAAGGTCCGTGAGTTCAGCGCTTGAGAGGGAGGTGCAGCAGACATGACATTCATGAAAATAGTTCGCTCTTGTTTAAAGCATAGCAGCATGGGGACTGGCCTGTCAGCGATTTATATATCGTCACCGAAGCAGTTGAGGAATCTGCATCGTCTCTTTCTTGTGCCTGTCATAGCGGCTGGGCCCGCGCCCAGCCCAAATCATCCGCAAATTTCCAACCTCAGTATGCACGCTGTTGACGACAGAATGAAGACTGCGCCGACCGGTTTTCGTCCCTCTACAACCCAACTGGCAAAAATGTAATGTTCTCATTTCCTTGGAGGAGCAGGGGATCGAACCCTGGGCCTTTCGCATACAAAGGAGTATGCAAAGCGAACGCTCTACCACTGAGCTACACCCCCTGAAGTGTGGAGAAGAAGAACAATAGTTGTGGACGAGCTGGGAATCGAACCCAGGACCTTTCGCATGCTGAATATTCGCATGCTAAGCGAACGCTCTACCAACTGAGCCACACGCCCGATGATTTATGGTAAACGATGTTCGATATTGTCGCTTCTCGCTGTTGAGAAGGTGCTCGAGCCTTGGATGGGCAAGTGGGAAAGTTGGGCATAGGGTTATGATGTTTGTATCCGGGAATAGATTGAGGATTCAAGACAACTCAACAACATATGTGCCACAAGCCCTCTTTGAGCGAACAGGATTGCAACGCCACGCGACTTTGCGTTGTGAACTCCAGCTGATCTCCCCTCTCACAAAGTAGAAGGACCAACTCACAGAGGTTGTGGGGTCTAAAAACGATTTCTGTCAACTCCCCAGCAATCTCCGCAGCATGAGCACCTCATGCTTAGTGACGAACACTCCAACCGCCGAATCCGCGTCACCGTGGCTGCCAGATCCCGACTCCTCCAACACATCTACCAAATCTCGCACTTTGGCGCCCTCCCACTTTCCCCCGCCGTTGGTCCAGAATGCGCGCTTTATACCGACACTGCGCATGTAGCAGACGCATCGGTAACAAGGGTGAGAATCGACAGCTCTTGGTAGCGGGCACTGTGCCAATGGCACGGGAGTCGGCGTTGGGGTCTTGCATATCAACTCATCATGCAACGAGCCTGGTGGTGTCGATATCCCGGGAAACAGGGATGCATCATCCGAGGGTAGAGCCGTGCATGTCTCTGGTTCCATTGTTGGCAACAAGCTGCTATTTGCTAAGCGGGCGACGTATACATCCGCGCCAACGAGCTTCGGGTGCTTTATTCTCTCTTGGGCCGCCAGCGACGCATGCTTGGTTGGGCCCTTTGGGATGACTGGTGGTTTCGTGCCGGGGCTACAATCTGCTGCTGTATGGGGGTCAACGCGCGCGCAACCCATCATAGGAGCAGCGACATACCTTCTGAGTCGTGATCCTGTGGTCCTTGGTGCGCTTCCGCGAAGTCGGGCATATCTCCCTTTTCTCATGAGTGTTCCTCCCGACACCCATCGTATGGTGCTTATCCTTGTTCGTCTCTTGACCATTCCTCTTGTTCTGTTTCTGATTGGCATTGGTATCGGTATTGGTATTGGAATCCTGAAGCTGCGGCGCATCGCGATGCACCGGTTTCAAAATACCACGCTTCATTCTCAGGCGCGCCGGTACGTTGTTTGGACTCTTATCCCATGGAATCCAGGCAGACATGCTCGACGTAGGATCTGATGGCGTTGTTGTCCCGCAGGCTGGCGTTTGCACGATGACTCGATAGTTTGATGTACGGTTTAATGTACGACGCCGTGCTGGCAGCCAGGGTGCTAGACGCTGCGAGGGCTGAGTTAATCGTTGAATCCGTGCCAACGATCTTGCCCCCCTTCACGACGATACTGCCATGGCGATGGAACAGTGGGGACTGGGCAGCGAGCTCGAGGCAGACGTTCTTGTAATTGTCGCTCTTCATTTTCTTGGATGGGCGATGATTCAGTCGGGATCCTAATTCTTCACTGTAACTACTGGTTCGTGTTGCGTTGATGTGTGTTCAAGGTTGGTGGGGCAAGTTAGTCGTCATCATGCCGAATGAGGTGCGGCAGCACATCAGTGTCAACAGTAAAAAAAAAAGGGGGGGGCATGATGAGTTTGCTCGGGTTCTTGCTGCCTTATAATTTCATCTTTTCTATAGTGTCATCCTCTGGTATGATCATGCGGTCCTTATCTGAACCGAGGAAAATCGCCAGAACCCAAGAACATTCACTAAAGTCATTGTTGCCCCTTGGTTTTGGGATGGGCGCAGAAACAAACTGCTTACCTAATAGGTCAGACGCTACGCCTTGACCAGGATCCTGACAGAGCGTATTGTAACTTCTTCAACCATCGTCTTCGGCGATAGTCAAGTTCTGTGGATCAGTAATTCCGACAGGTCGGGTCTAGATTGCGGGGTAATAAGACACAAGTGGAGCTCTCAATGACGGCATCTCGGCCGGCCCGACATTCGGAGACTCAACCTCCAACTTTCCAACACGAAGCAACCAATTGCTCATCTTATAACCTCACAACCGCCGGATATCGAAAATACAAATCCAGAGCTTCCGTCTTTGAAAACCATATACCATACCTACCAAGAACGCGAGATCATCATGGCACCAATCAAGATCGCCGTCCTTGACGATTACCAAGGGCTCTCCGAGCCCAAATTCAGGACCCTAGACCCTACCAAGTTTGAGGTTTCATTCTTTAAGGACACCCTCCGCCCCTACAGTCATCCGGAGACCACCCAAGAAATCAAGGACCAACTCGTCCAAAGACTCAAGCCCTTCACTGTCATTGGTAACTACCCAACAGGCACTGCTCCTGCATATCATGCACACGGTTTACTAATTGACTCCTAGCAACTATGAGGGAACGAACCCCATTCCCGCGGGAGCTCATCGTCCGCCTCCCAAACCTCAAACTCCTCCTCACCACCGGAAACCGCAACCTTGCCCTCGACCTGCCCGCCTTCCAGGAGCGCGGCATCCCTGTCGTTGGCGCCACTGATAAATCCCACCCAGGCGCCGTCGGCTCAGTAAGCACAACCGAGCACTGCGTCGCCATGATCCTCGCCGCTGCGCGCAACATTGCCCAGGATGACCACAGCGTCAAGTCCGGTGGGTGGCAGACGCATTCGGCTGTGAGTTTGCACGGGAAGACGCTCGGAGTTATCGGGCTAGGAAGACTGGGCGTTGCAGTGGCGAAAATTATGCACGGGGCGTTTGGTATGCGGGTAGTATCGTGGAGTCCAAACTTGACCCAGGGAAAAGCTGATGAACAGGCGGTGGGGGCGGGCTTTGAGGCTGAGAGGGAGGATGGGGAGAAGACGTTCAAGGTTGTCAGTAAACAGGAGTTGTTCAGCACGGCGGATGTCCTGAGCGTGCATATTGTGTTGTCAGAGAGGTCGAGGGGCGGAATATCAAGGAAGGACTTGGTGCTGATGAAGCCGGATGGGATCTTTGTGAATACGTCACGAGGACCGCTTGTGGTAGAGGAAGATCTGCTGGGGGTTTTGGAGGAGGGCAAAATCCGGGTGGCGGCGTTGGATGTGTTTGAGTTGGAGCCGCTGCCGTTGAACAGCAGGTGGAGGACCACGCATTGGGGAAAGGATGGAAGGAGTCAGGTCCTGCTCACTCCACATACGGGTTATGTGGAGCAGAAAACATTGGAGGGGTGGTATGAGCAGCAGGTTGAGAATGTTGAGAAGTGGGCGAAAGGGGAGCCGCTGACCCAAAGTTTATATTGATCAACAGTTTGTATTGCATTGCCTAAAATCGATGTTGAGATCGTGTGGCATTAGCTAAGGATGATCTTGTTTGACCAAATCTGCCGTAACCTTCCAGAAGATAACCTGAAATAGTGCAGGGAGTCGGTGCTATCTACTTTTAGGCGGCAGGTAATACAAACAGACGCTTTTGTTGTTTGCACTCTGAGGAACACCAAACGAGATAACTTTTACCCCCATAAAGGGCCCCTCTCGGCATCAGAGTCAGCCTTGTTAACCCGCGATTTTTGTTTCTCAGACAAGAGCAACTTGAGTGTGCTCTCCCCTTTGTGGTTCTCATAGATATTTAGCCGTCAAATGAGCCGCCTTGCAATAGTGTGCGGATTGCCTAGGCGGATACCTAAGGTAGCCATCCAGTTCATAGATACGACCCTGCTGTCATTGTGTTTGTTTGCATCTTGGTTCACCTTTCAGACCGCATTCCGTCGCATGGTGACGCGTCATGACTACCACGACGCGCTGGTGTTCGCGTGATGGTAGGTTCTCTGCAGACGCACCTGCCTTGGTTCCAGGGCAGGTTGCTTTTTCGCTCCTTCCTCCAGCGACTAGGAGAGCGAACTTGGATTTGATTGCCGCTATCGAGGGTTCCAAAACACAACCCCTCTCATCCATCCACTTATTATTGGGATTCCCTCCATACCTTCCTGCGCAGCACCTGTGCTCTTTTGCCCAATCCATTCTCTGTCTTCCGTCCTCCTGGACTAGCATCCCGTGGCACTACCGGAATGAGCCTTCAGAAAGACCGCCTTCTTCCCTTCATATGTACACATTTCACTTCCCTGAATTTCCTGGAACACCTGCTCACTCAATCTTTCCAGGCAATTCCCAGGCAGTCCAAGAGGTTGCGCATCCCATACCTTTGGCTCCTACCACGATGAATGCAAATACAGGCGCGTAACCCCCCCCGGCCCCACGTCGTATCTGCACCTAACCTCCGAGTCCTGTTACAGGCCACCCAGGTTCTTCAAAGGTACCCTCAGCGCCTGCGTTCAACGGCCCTCCCTTGAGTGGATATGCAAACGTCCATGAGTGGGTTGCGGTCCATGGACCGCAACAGCACCCGCCACAGGGGCCCTCTCAGATGATGCCCCCGCCTCATACCCGCGCTCTTCAGCCTGCCCAGCGAGCGCCTCCAACTATGCTGCAAGCCCAGCAATGGAGACCTCCGTCTATGCCTCGCGCCCAGGAGTTGAAGCCTCAACCGATGACGGCCCTACCAACGGAGGCCCTCTCCCTCGCCTGTCAGGCGCATGGGCACAATCCGGAGTGGATTGAAGAGAAAGTGACATACGGATATGCCTTCAGTGTTAAGGCGCACGGCAAGATTTTCCGCTCCCCGGGAATCTTTTCGGTGGAGAGGGAAGCGAAAGTTGCCACAGCAGCCGTGGCGTTGGCGTGCTTGGACAAACAGAATGCACCAGCACAGACTACCAGAGCCTCTGCCAGTGAGAGTGTGCCTCCCGGCAACGCGAAGGGGCCTACACCTAAGAGCAGCATGCGTCCCAGTGTGAAGAACGACGGCACCGGAACACAGCAGGAGCTCTTCAGCATCATGAAGCGGCTCCAAGCTATCTATGGAACAGAGGGCAGGGACCGTGCACAAGACCCCATCACGGCGGCCTTCCTCGAAGGTCTCAGTATTGGCTCCCGAGCCGCCGTTGCCAACATCAACAACCTTCGCACCGAAAAAGCAGCCTCGGATGGAGGCAAAGACCCCCAGCTTGCTCGCCGTAGGGGCC